CTTGTCACGGCCCGAATGACAGCTTGAAGACATTTGCACTGGCTGCATCCTTGGTCTTCACCTGTTCTTTTTATTCGTTTTTATTAGGGATGTCTCCCATTCCTCTCTGACACATTCAGTACTGAATAGCCTGTCAGTAGATGAGTAATGTCGGGGTTTTTATTGGCTGCCCTCTCTCCTACCTGTAGGCAGACTTAGAGAGCTGCCTTTTTGTCACCCTCTCTTGATCGTTTTATTTAAGGAGACTCAGGGTCTCTATCTTTTATAAACGGACAGGTAGCCTATAGGCCCTACCCCTCGTTCCCTGATGGAGAATATTCATTTTTAAATGCTATTTCCCTCGGAATGTGATGCTCCATTTACGCAGGACGTACGGAACCAGGTGGCGTAGACTAAAATCCTGCTTCGCCTTACCAATGAGCGTTAGGCCTTAAAGCAAGGCGAAGCTCTATACGATATAGAACTGGGGTTACGTCTGCTAACCCAGCTTCTTATGGGAGTATAGGCGCAGCCCTCTAAAGGGTCGGGGCCCAATGGGCTCGCGAATAGCGAAGAAAAGCTGTTTGTGTGGGAGTAGATCGGTAGGGCTACTTCCTATTTATACGGAAGTGGGGCCCGGGAGGTGGGGCCCACGTCATAGGTGGGCGTGGATTAAATCTGTCAGTGCTGCACACGTGCAGGAGGGATTACCCAATAGCGATAGCCTTAGAGGGCTGCGCCTATACTCATTGAAGCTGGGTTACATTACGTAACCCCAGTTTTTGTTGGTGCGAGTGTGCATATGCTTGTGTGTGAGAACACCGGCACTCGAGACACAAAAGTGGGACATTTTATAAGCGGTGCTCATGAAATTAATAAAGCAGAAACACTGGACAGATCTTAAAATCAGGATAACGATAGATCTGTATGATAAACAAACCTCTCCATATTTTGCCTTAGACTAATAATTACGGAAGTCACTGCGATCTCTCAAAGCTGTGACCCGAAGAGGGTTACTTCCTATTTCTATCCATCAATAATGTCACTCTGTTATCACAATGCAATTCTAATCCAAGCCACTTTCATATTGCAGCTTTATAAAATGTTTTAAAGAGGATCTATATTCCTGTCTGCAGTCCTAAGGCAACTTTCTAATTTTAAGAAAGTCTTCAATGTTCTTACCTAATTTTTTTAATATTTTATTTGTGTTGTTCATTCATATCTTATTTTACCTTAACATTTATTTATTTATGCATTTTTTTTTATCTCTCCAGTTTTAAAGGATATTTTTGGTTACTGTAGTATACATTGAAATGATTTCAAACCTGTTTATCCCAATAATTATAAAGGAGTGCCTTTTCCAAGGCACTCCTTTATAATTATTGGGATAAACAGGTTTGAAATCATTTCAATGTATACTACAGTAACCAAAAATATCCTTTAAAACTGGAGAGATAAAAAANCTAATATTTAGAGATAGGATATTTGAGTTTTCTTAAGCTGTATGCCATAATCAGCAATATTAAAATAATAAAAGGCTTGCAATATTTCAGTTGATTTGTAATGAATCCAGAATGTATGACATTTTTGTTTTTTTTAATTGCATTACAGAAAATAAAGAACTTTATCACAATATTCTAATTTTCTGAGACAGTCCTGTATATATATATATGTTTAGTCAGAAATTAGATCATGCTAGCTGGCTAAAAATCCTCTGTCATGCGAGCATAAGCTGCCCTGGCCTTGGAGCATGCAGACCAACGCTGCATTCACATTGTGTAATGAAATACTGCAAGTGATTTTGGCATTTAACATATGGGGGAGAAGTTTTAATAAAAAATTCAACAGTTGGATGAATTATTTTGTATCCCTATCTTGAAGCGCCTGCAGTAAAAAAGAAGAAGAATGTAATGCTGACTAGAAGTTCTCCTCTTACCTTCCCAATTCAGAGGGAAGATGTATGGCTTATTTTAATGCTTTGTTACTAATAAAACCACCAAAAAATCCGTCTCTTTATAGTTTAGAAAATCATAAAAGTCTAAAGTTAGTTACTCTCAAAATAGGAACATTTAATATTTCGTGGATTTTATAACAATAAACCCTAATAAATAAATAAACAACATTCACCATCACTTATTGGCATGGCTTGAATGAGTAAATTGTCACTCTCTGGGTCATATGTAAGCACTGTTGGGGTCTTGTTTGCACACTCAAAACCCATTAAAAATATTTCTCTCTCTGCATGACAACCTCATTAATAGCATGAATAATAACATGCATCATTATGCTGCTGCATGTTCACATGTTTAGCATAAGTGCCACTTGTTGCGCTGTAAGCTCTACTGCCAGAAGGTCAATCATATGGCATTTCTTTATATCTGCGTGAAAGAAATTCAAGTAGTTATTTCATTTTTTGCGTGTAATCTGTGGTTTTTTCTCCCTTTTTAGACCACTTACTCCAAATGGCAACATATATCTTTGATGGCAGAGGATGACACCGACTAAACTGGGGGCTTTCTGGCTCCAGTCCCAAAACTGTTGCCCTCCAGTTGCTGTATGCATGCTCTGCCTTTATGTCTGGCCAGAGCCACCTGAGGACATTCTTATGGCTTCAATTACTGAGTGCTATTCTAAAATCAGGGCTAGCAATTAAAAGACACACCACTCAACCAAATGATATCACAGGTTAACAGCAAACGCAGCCAAATTTAACTTGAAGGAAAGCAAGTTCAGGAGAGCAGAACTCTATAAACCCGTATGTTTTATGATGTAATCCCAAAGCACTTGCCTTACATGTTAAGGCCACAGTATATCCAGTTAACCCATGTCTGATCTGATCCCATAAGCAATGATCTATATCAAGCAGGGCCTCCTCACCTCTATTAGCATACTTGCTATAGAAAAAAAGAAATCTTCATGCCCTACTTTCCAAAAATCTGTGTAAAACTGAAGGATATTATTAATCCACATCCTTTCCCCCCCTCTATATAGCTGTTTTTGTTCTGATTGATCAAAGGCCTTCAACCTCTTACCTGCACTGCTGTTAGCTTTTGTTCCTTGGATTTCTCCTCAGGTGTTCTGGGGAAATAAGGGCACGACCTGTCACGCAGAGGTGAGGCGGCAGGATTTCACACAGGTCACACAATGAATTGTCAGATTCAGTCTGGAGGAAATATTACACCTTTTAACCGCAGTGGTGGAAAGCTACTTAGTACATTTGCTTTTTCTGTTGTGCTCTCTGAAGTATTTAGATCGTATGCTGTCATACCACAATTAACATTTCAAAGGGAAACATAGTACTTTTCACAAGACTACATACAGTATATGCAGGGTTCATACACTTGTTCCCTAATGATTTCCCATGACTTCTCCATGACCTTTACCTAATTTTCCATGACCAAAAAAAGTACTCTTTCTCAGCGGCACCACTGAAAATGGTTTATTTTAACATGGAACAGGAAAATAAGATCTGCATATGAAACATGTTGTGCCTATCTAAAACAAATCAAATAGCTTACTAGCTTCTACACACTAAAGCAACTAAAATCTCTCACCAGCAAAACACCTCGACAGTTAAATGCCATTTTACGTTTCATTACTATACGATACAGTATTTATTATCATTATAGTATTACTATTTCGGCGATTAGCTAAAATATAAATTAAATTTGATGCAACTTTAGTTACATTTCCAAAACTTTGGGAAAAATATTGTTTTCCAAAACTTTTCCAGGACCTGGAATTTGCATTTTGAATTTCCATGACTTTTCCAGGTTTTTAATGACCGTAAGAATGGTTTGTCTAACGTACCTCAATTAATCATCCAATATGTTATATGGTATGGAAACACCCAACTGATCCAGCCTTAAGGTGATAATATATTTACATTTTGACCATTACTTTCAATGAAACATCAGATAACCCCTTCAGAGGTACAGCCTGTTATAGGACAGTATGTCTAAAGCTGTTGTAACAACTGCAGTGTGACCTTGACTCTTCTCCTCACTTCTTCTTTGAAATGAAACACTCATCAGATCATTTGTCCTCTGTGACATGCCTCTCTCTCTCTAGGTGTCACAGCGAAGACATCATATGGTGTCGCACATCTGTTTCCCATTAATAACAGTACTCTCCGATTCCAAACAAAGCTCAGTGTTGAGCAAATCAATAATATTTCAGAGTTTTTTAACAAACATATCCCTCTCCCTATTCTAAATAAATGGTATTACACACCTTGTTCGGTCTGTAGATTATATATATATATTAAAGCACTTCCTACCTCCGGAGGAACAATGCTAGTGTTACATTTCCACTTTGTTGATGCATTTGTCTCCCTGCGGGTTTAAGACTCTCTTTGACATTGTAAAGCCAGGTGTGTTGTTACATGGGAATACCTGCAAGAGAAACATGCATGCTGGGAAAACGATATATCGTGTCATGGCGATAACCGCGATATGCGCATGCGCGATATTCACATCGCAGGGACGTGCAATTTTATTAAAAAAAATTATTCTTTTTTTTTTTTTTTTTTTTATATTTTTTTTTTTTAGGGCTTGCGATATTAAGTAGGTTAATTAACACGTCATGTTTGCAGACCATTAAAACACCGGTAAAAAATGAGCGAGGAACAGGAGGACAATACCGGCGAGAATGAAGATTTACAGTACTTCCAAAAAGAAAAGCAACATCTGCCAACTGGAACTATTTTGGATACAAAAAAGTTCTTCTCTTCCTCATTTACAGGTGAACCCCCTTATTTGAGGGTAAGCAACATGCATTATCATGACATGTTAGATCATGACTTAAGGTATGATGAGTCTACCAGTTAAGATCCAGACGTCCGTGACTAAAATCCTTCACCGGGTTAAATATAGTTAAAAAAAACGCAATATATATCGCAGGGGAAAAAAATATCGCAATGTCAGTTTTTTTCAATATCGTGCAGCTCTGCCAAAGATGAATCCATGGGCAACAAAAACACATATCTGCATGGAGGATGAATAGATTAAGTTTGCATGGCAACAACACTTGTGTGTACTCTTAGTGGCACTGGAGAGATTTGTGTGGCAGTTGGTGCTACAGTATGCACCATCATGAACACTTCCACCCACTCGCCGATGATCTGTCTTCAGTGAGGAGCAAAGTTACCAAGGAGCAGTCTGAAGCTTTTCCTTTGGCCTCTAAAGCTTATGGCTATATTTAGAAGCATGATAAAAAAAAAAAGGTCATACTCTGACTCTCTGGGTGACATGTGAATGCACCATTCTGTGCATGTGACTGCTGCCAGAGTTTTTCTCATCGGGGTAATTATTCTTATTCTATAGAATATATCGTACATTCAGATTACGCTTCTGGCATTTAGCATTCATGTGATTTGTAATTACAGAGCCATTTCATCGCTTCTTGGAGTTCATTAGCTGACACGGGTTTTGGCCATCAGAGGTGATAAGGGAGGGGAATCGCCAAATGTCAGACATAAATGTGAGATTTGACTGAAAGCGGCTCAGCAGGGAGATGTTTAACTGGTACATTTAGCAGACAATGCGTCTCAATCCACAGGTTTAGAATTAAGACCGGCAGAAAAGTATAAATATAAAAACACATTATAGACAGAAGATGTCCCTCTGACATTTTACCAGAGTCAGACTCATTGTCATTT